AAAATCGAAAAAACGAACTACAAACATATTATGCCAAACATTCGGTAGAATTTATAGAATATTGTAAAAATTATGGTCTATTACCAACATATATATATATATATATATATATATATATATATATATATATATATATATATATATATATATATATATATATATACAATTTTGATTTTTGAGACTTAAAATTTTAATTTTAACTTGCATCACTCTCGAAAAAGGTTGGTTTTGGCGGGGGGAGAATTTGGTTGTATTTGTTTGATCCGCTTGAATATTTTAAAGGATTGGTTTATCTTTGCTCTTTTTAAGGGCACTACTCCACAGATTTCACAAAATTTGCAGTCATAAGTTTGCCAGCTTACGTTTCCACATATTGAACCATCTCAACGTTCTGATCATATAAAAACCCTCCGGTTTCAGTGTCTTCACGTTCGTCGAAAAAACTGCTCCTATACGAAAAAAACTTTCGTTGTTTTCTCGCAACATAGTTGTTTGGTTTATTTACCGTTCGTTATAGGAACCACAAACACCACACAGAAAATAATATTGTAAGTTTATATAAACAACTTTTTACAAGATTTATATAAAAATACTGAGAAAAAATAACAATAGAAACTGTTTTTTGAGAAATTTGTTCAAAATTAAACGGTTCGCTCGCTCGTTTAGTTTCAAAATCTAGTGTAATATCATTTTAAATTAAGATGGTTCTTAGCATATAATATAATAAAAATCTTGGCGGATTAATCACTTCCCTCTACTCAATAATTGAAAATATAAAAGAAAATTATCGTCAAAATAAATTTTAAAAAAGTTGTTACTTGTTGTGTTTTAGTTGTTCCTCTGTGATTCCCCATCTTAAATCAACCTCAAATACATTCACAAATATCGAACGAGCTCTCAACCTCAGCTCCTGAAAAATATATTTCACTAACAAGTCCCTTTCACTGAATAAATCTTGGAATGTCGACGATATGAATATTCGACAATTAACCCACCTGTAAGTTTAAAAAATGTATTCATTCCATCACAAAATTCAACATGCTCTATTAGAAACAATTTAAAAATTACAGCATTTGTGGACATTGACGATTTGAATTAAAAATGTAAACTTGATTATTTTCCAATTTGTAAATTTCATTTTCCGATAGTGTGATGATAATAATATTATTTTAGCAAGAAAATAATTATCTTCATCCCATCGTAAAATAAAACATGAAAACAGAATAGTAAGATGTTCTCATCACAATGCATGATGCATCATCAAATTATTCCACAAAATTTTTACAGATTCTATACCAAATTGATTTCAAGAGCAGGTTCTTCCAAACAAATTAAGAAATAACGTGCAAGAGGCGTTGAAAATGGTGAAAAATTAAGAAAACAAAATAAAAGAATTGATTCAACTTTTTTCTTTTTTTTGAAATTTCTTGCCAAAAAATTATGAATGATGAAAATAATCTAATATTTATTTACTTTGGCACAGGAAGAGAAATTGGTTTTTCTAAAACGTCAGCACATTGTTCTTTTTTTAGCTTCTTCATAGTGCTAATGTGTTTGTTGTCTTTTAACTCATAAAATTTATCAATATTTTCAATGTAAGTCATTTGAGTTTTATCTCCTCTGTCAGCTATGAACCTTTTAATGTTTTACGTAAAATATTTTTACAACCAACAAACGGTTAAACTGTTAAGAAAAAATAACAAAATGAAAATTAACTATAATAGCTATAGGGACTTAATGAGAAAATTTTAAAAAGCATGTTAAAACTTACTTGAGAACTTGGTCTGAAAATCCGTTGATGACAACCCATTGGTCGTTATTAGATTCATCTGGCATTTCAACACTAAAATAAACGAACACAAAATATTCCTATTTGTAGATTCACATATGTTTATAAAATCGTAATCGAAATAATTCATTGGTGTTATGAAATGGATATAAATTTCATTACAAAAGATAAAATAAATTGAAATTAAAATTCTACAGTTATGAACCAAAATCAACCCCACCCCTAACCTCAAACTAGGAGCATTAATTTGAATATTGTAGCAAAGAAGATTTTTGTCAACAACTTTTTTGTAAAAATTCGTGCAGTCAAACAAAGTGTTCCAAAAATGTTGAGAGGATTGATAATTGAAACAAACAACGTTGTTGATCTAACATGAAAACAAATTGTTTATAATGGTTCAATGAAGTGCATACACTAAACTTGCATAACACAAAAGCAAGGAAATATAATTGGGCAGTCAAATGAGAACAATGAAGTTCTTAAAAACAAAAAAGAACAGTACGCAGCTATTCAAGATCAATCAACAATAAAATTTATATTCTTCTCTCAGTCAACAGTTGAAGCTCTTAACTTTTACAATTTATTTTAATTTTCAAGAAGAACTATAATTTAGTTTTAAAAATGTCATTTCAAAAATATTCTTTTCGCACAATTTACATAAATGAAAGTTATATAAAATTAAAAATAAATAAATATAAAGATATTTTGAATTTTACAATTGAGTGATAAAATGAAAGTAAAAAGTAAAAGAAGGCGAAAAACAAAATTAATATGTAGAAATGTGTTACACATTTTTTATTCTGACCAAATTGTTATTTTTTTACTTTCATTTAATCACTCAATTATAAAATTCAAAATATCTTTATATCTATTTCTTTTTAAATTATTTTATTATAAATAATGTTATGACGTTTAGACACACAACACCTTTGTATGCCATCTCATTAAAATAAAAACAAAAATATAAATTCTTTATCCTAATATCTATTACAAACAAACAAATGAATTTTCTCCAGAATAGATATACGTTGGAACAATTGCTTCAATCCTTTCGCTAGCACTAAACATTATCAAATAAGCTTCTATTAAAATTTATTTAAAGAACACTGTACATAAAATGGAAAATCAATTTTCCACATGTGTGAGGTTTTTCCATTTTGTAACATATAAAATAGTTTTTAATTTGTATGGGAAAACATTTTTCTCATTTCATCATGGCTTGTTGTTGTCGATGATGTAATTCTTTACTATTTAGCTCTGTCAAACGCTGAATTGTTTAGATGCTTGTTATTCGATACTTATAACCAAACAAACTTTCGTGTCACAAATCTGTACTATCCACACCTTAGCACGAACATGCACATTATCTGTGCACGCCAGCACCTTGTCATACGTGCATGGCGAGGTATGGCACTTTTGGCGACTGAGCTACTTTGCCAACCGTAAAACTGAGTTTAAACTATTGAAATGAACACACCACGTTTCTCAAGCACCCGGTCAATAGATACACAACCATGTTGTTTTCAGATTGCAAATGTTTTGGTGTTAGCTGAAAAACAGATAACATGTATGAATAAAAAAAGAGAAACATACCTTTTTATTTTCAAGAGAGATTTTATTAAAGTATCTACTGATGTATGCATAATCCTCTTGGCATGGCCCGTTAACCTCCTAATGAAACAAAGCAAAAATTTAAAAACTTTAAATTAAAAATTAAATCAATATTTTTCACAAGCTGTGGGTACATATTAGTTTCGATTGTTAACAAAATGTATAAACGTATAATGAGCTAATGAGCTCATAGCAGTACATCGGCCAGTGCATTAGACTACCGGTTTGCAAATTACTACTGATGCTAAATAAAAAATTATTGATGATGGTTGTAAACTAGTAACAAAAGTTTAGAAATTTCAGAAATAGTTAAGACAACCTGTTGTTTATTGATGACCAATTGAACGTTGTCGAGAATGCCATCTTTACTCTTCAAATCAAACTCTATGTAACTTTTATTGCCAAATATTAAGTATTGGCATTCTTCACAAGAAAATTTGCACATCAAACTCATCAAAACTGTCATTTCAGAAACCTGCAAAATATAAACCAGAAGATATACAAACGTCATTATTCGATGGCTGTGGATAATTAACATCAAGCCAAATAATATTTTATTCATCATTTCAATACAAATTTTTAAAAACGTTAAAAAAATAACACCAATAAATAGCCACAGCATGTGTGGACTTTTGAAAGTCTTCTTCTAGCTCTCGACAATATGATAGTAAGATTTTTTACAAAAAACAAGAAAAACCAGTGGCGGATCTAGAGGGGATGCGAGGGTGCTTCCACCCCACCCACCACAAAAATTTCTTTCTTTCAATCGTGAAAGAAAGAAATTTTAAAAATTCTGTGTACAGTTGACAATATAGAGATGAAGTAAATGGAATATAGCGAAAAAAGTCGTAAACTAAGAATTTTGAGAATTATCATCCCAGTCCAAACGAGAACAAACGGGAATTAGCAAAAAAAAGATGATCAGATTTAAAATTTGGAAATCATACCTCCAACCAAAAAATTCTGGACCCGCCACTGGCAACAACTAAAGTTTGGCATCAAAATGTGAACAAGTTTCAAAAGATAAATTAATGCATGACAAAAGTGCCTTTAAAAAAACTCGGCAGTCAAATTTTTCTACAAACAATTTTTCTATATCTTATAGACAACATTTACCGCTTTTTATTATTTGATAAATATGTATTAAATAATTTATTAAATAATCGAAGGTCCGATTCCAGATATCACTGTAGAGGAGCTTACTGAAGCTCTGGAAGCTATGAAGGATGGAAAGGCAGCAGGGCGCTCTGGACGCACAAATGACATTATCAAAGCATCTGGTACTGCAGATATCCAAACGTTACTACAACTTTGCCGTGAAATCTGGAGAAATTGCTCAATGCCGACTGAATGGAACTATAACATGACAGTCCCGCTATACAAAGGCAAAGGTGATCCATTGAACTCTTCATCATATCGGGGTATACGTCTGTTAGAACACTCCCTGAAAATTGTCGAAAAAATCATTGAGAGAAGATTAACGTTGTGCATCACAATCGGAAATTATCAATTTGGTTTCCTAGCGGGGAAATCAACAATTGATGCAATTCACATCCTTCGGCAACTGCAAAAGAAGTACCTCACAAAGCATCAACAACTATCACACATTTTTGTAGACCTTGAAAAAGCATTTGATCGAGTTCCCCGTGAGGCAACCAGGTGGAGTCTACGTCGACAACTCATTCCAGAATATCTAGTTCGACTTGTGATGGAAATGTATACGAATACTAAGACTCTCGTCAGCACAAAGGTTGGAAACACAGATGCATTTGACATCGGCGTTGGAGTTCACCAAGGCTCGATTCTCAGTCCACTGTTATTTATAACTGTAATGGAAGAAATCACAAAACCGATACGCACTGGTGACATTTGGAATCTAATATATGCTGATGATATCGTTTTAACGGCCACGTCTGAGCAGAATGAAGCACAGATATTTGAAGATTGGAACACCAGACTGGCCGTTCATGAATTCAAAGTTAACATCAGCAAAACCAAAACAATGAACATTGGTGAACCCAATCAATCCACAGCTACTGGATGATGGCTTTGTTCAGTTTGTAAAGCTGGTGTAAGTAACAATTCAATCAAGTGTCAGCAGTGTAACCAGTGGTGTCACAAACGTTGTTCAAAAATAATTGGTAATTTATTTAAAGTGTCCAATTTTGTTTGTCCCGCTTGCATCAATCCACAACAACAAATACGAAATAGCACTGTTTTTGAAGCCATTAAGGTAGAGAAAGTCACATCGTTTCAATATCTAGAGGATGTTCTGGATTGTATTGGAACAACTGAAGCTGCCGTTCGAGCACGCATACGTGCAGCCTGGAATAAATGGCATCTCCTTGCCTCTATATTGGTGCGGCCTGACATCCCACTACCACTACGATCAAGACTTTATAAATCTGTGATACGTCCGGTCTTGTTATATGGTGCAGAAACATGGCCAATAACAACCAAACTGGAACAACAACTTCACCGAACCGATATGAAAATGCTCAGATGGATGCAACGAATTAGTCTGAAGGACCACATCAAATCTACAGAAATCCTGCGTCGTGCTGGTTTGCCGAATGCCAGCAACACCGTCTGAGGTGGTTTGGTCATGTCAAACGAAGTGGAAACAGGGCCATAACTTCTCTTGCAGATGTTGAAATTAGGGATGCACCGAAGTTCGGCCCCGGCTCCGGCGAAAATCCGGCTTTTTTATCAAATCCGACCCCGGCCGGATTTGGTGGCCAGATTTATGGCCGGATTTAAGCGTCTATCGACATTTAAAAATGTTATAAATAGAAAAAAAAATTTCATTGAATTCAATTAATTTTATGTCAATAAGTTAAAAGCTAAGCATACATGACACATAATAACAACATCACTAAGCGTCTATCGACATTTAAAAATGTTATAAATAGAAAAAAAAATTTCATTGAATTCAATTAATTTTATGTCAATAAGTTAAAAGCTAAGCATACATGACACATAATAACAACATCACTAATTGTGAAATGAGCTGGACAATTTTCTTTGTGCTATAACATGGGTTATGCATAAATTATGAGCTGATCTTTGTGTAAAAGAACTTGTGCACGTGTTTATACTATATAATTGTATATGACGGATCATATAGCTAATATATATATATATATATATATACATAAAGATACATAAGCGCGTAATTTAAGAACATGGTATGTTAAAGGTTAGGCTAGGCATACATGACACATAATAACAACATCACTAATTGTGAGGTGAGCTGGACAATTTTCTTTGAGCTATAACATGGGTTATGCATACATTATAAGCTGATCTTTGTGTAAAAGAATTTGTGCACGTGCATACATGACACATAATAACAACATCACTAATTATGAGATGAGCTGGACAATTTTCTTTATGTTATAACATGGGTTATGCATAAATTATAAGCTGATCTTTCTGTACAGAATTTGGCGTATCACACAGCTTATTCGTGAATTAATTAACTATTTGCTTTGTGTTATTTTTTGATGTTCAACATGTAGATAACCGTAAATGTGAGTATTTTTTCTAACGTATGTAAAATAAAATCCGGCCCCGGCCGGTTTTTGAATTTTAAATCCGGCCAAGTCCGGCCCCGGCCGGATTTGAAAGACCTGAATCCGGTGCATCCCTAGTTGAAATATCTGGCACACGTCCCAAAGGCCGTCCAAAGAAGTCCTGGTCGCAAACATTCGAGCAAGACATGAAAGCTCTAAATTTAAATGAAATGGATACAACTGATCGCCTAATTTGGCGCAAAAAATTGATGGCAAAGAAAACAACATCCTACCTCGGGAGAACTAGGTCTCTGGACGCTAAACGATGATTGATTGATCGTATTAAATAATTTAGAAGTCATAACCAATCTATTAATAAAATTACCATAATCAACTGATAATTGTTAAAATATAATTTAATCGATATTTAAAAATTTTATTTTTAATTGACATATTTTCTGGGTTAATTAATTAATTCTAATTGATGTAAATTCTTACACTTTTTGGCTTTCCAAGTCCTTTAGCTGACTTGCAAACCATGTCAGCTAAACATTGTGGACCTAGATCACAGATGACAATAGTCCTGCCTGAAATGGGCGGTATGTTGTGGGTTGTTGAAATTTGTACGGATTGGTTTAGAGCCACTCTGTAACGCTGCAACAAGCCCAAATCAATTGCTGCGCTAAAATTTTGAGGTGAACATGCAATAATATCACTTGTTAGCGAGAGAAAAATTATAAAATTAATCAATAGTAGAGGTTTTTTTTCCATCACTCAATTATGTTAGTTATAAGAATTCTTTTAGAACTTTTCCCTACGGCCAAACACAGTTGTTAATGTGAAATAAAGTAGTTCTTCTAAAATAACGTACTCGAAGCAGAAATTATAAATGAAAATAATTTTTAAAATAATCAGTGTTTTGTTATAGATTTTAATATTATTACCGTTATCGTTATTATTATTATTATCATCATTATCATAATTATTATTGCGCTTGTATTGAAACAAGAGAGTCGTTTTAACGTTGCTTACTGTTTTTATTGCAATAACTTGATTTTAAGGGTTTTAATATATTTTAATTTTGGTTGGTAGTGTTAGGAAAATTGAGAGCATAATGGCGTTCTATTTTAGTATGGGTTTTAATAAACAATTAAATTTTAAATTAATTATTTTCCTAATTCTAGTTTTTAAATTTTTAAATAATGTAAATGCGACGAAATGCCCTTATTGTTTCAAGAATTTTAAATTCGTAAATAGACACTCCTGGCGCTGTATGAAAAATACTATGCACGAATCTACTAGATTGAAGGTTTCTATGAAAGAAAATATTAAAATTTCTCCTAACATTTTAACAGATAATATCAATATAATTAATAATATTGATAATAATTCTGATAATATTTTGCGGTGTGAATGTGGTAAATACTGCAAAGGGAGAAAGGAATTACTAATGCACCGTCGAACTTGCAAAATGTTCAAATCGCTGAAAACAACCGTCCCGGACGTCGAAACCAATAAATCAGAAAACGAGCTCCAGCAGTTTCAACACACAACTACGTCCTCAGCAACTCCAAACCCACTTCCGGGTATTAAACTGCCAAAAACGCAAAGCCAATGGGCTGAGGCTAACGCATATTTTCATCAGAAATTTGTGGACTTATGTGTTGTTGAGGATATTAACCATTTTACCTCAACCTTCCAAAACACAATCTACAACTACTTCGCCAATACGTTTGGAACAGTTAAACCCAAAACATCAACAAATCAAAATTCCGTCATTAAACAACTCAAGAAGAAATTGAAGAATTTGAAAATCCTTGGACGCAACAACAATTCGTTCAACAATGACATAATTGCTGTCAGCAAATTGATAAGGTCCAAGCTTCATAACTCAAAGCGTCCAGGTAAATCGGCTGATCAATCCGACGTTTCAATTCAACTATCAAAGAACTTTTGGAAAGCATGTAAACAAATTTTCTCGCCCACCACAACAACACCTCCATCATTCGATGTTGAAAAAGGGTGCAATTTCTTCTACAGCGCAATGAAAGCCGATGACAAATGTAATTACAACATTCCGGACTGGATCCCGTCTCTGCCGTTGCCCTCATTCGGTGGTGATGTCGGTCCTCCAACATACGAAGAAGTTTCAAACATTGTTCGTAGAAGTAAATCTCGCGCCTCTCTGTGTCCATTGGATCAAATATCGATAATAGTTTTCAAAAGATGTCCAATTCTTAGAACCTTTCTCCATAAGTTACTGTTAAAATGCTGGGCCTCATCTACGATACCAAACTATTGGAGAAAGGCATTAACAATTTTAATCTACAAAAAAGGGGATCCCAACGACCCGGCTAATTTTTGTCTATAACCCTTCAACCAACCGGCTACAAAATATTTTCAACTCTAATAAAAAAAAGACTTTACAATTTTCTATAACAAAATAAATTCATCAATACCAATATTCAAAAAGGTTTCTACCCGAAGGTGGACGGTTTATTGGAGCATTCCTAAACGTTGACCCGGAGTCAGGTTCGGTGAAACAGTCACTCAAATTGCTGGAAGAGACAAGAATTGCATCCAGCCTCGACCATGTGTTTAATCTCCAATGCCAAGGTTTGTTAATAAAAGAAATAAATGAGCACATTTCTCCATCACAAACGTCGCGTTGGTCAAAGATCGTCGAAGGATTACCGGGAGTGCTCTATAAGTTTACTAGAAAATATTTAATACAACAACTTCCCACTAATGCAAACTTATTTAAATGGGATAAGTCAACAACATTTCTATGTCCACTATGCAATCATCGCCAAACAAACAAACATGTTGTTGCGAACTGTGATTCCACAGCGGCTCTCGCAAGGTACACGGACAGGCATAACAAACTGCTGTCGTTGATTGTCAACTGGTTAAAGATTTTTGCACCATCAGACAGTTGCATATTTGCTGATCTTAATGCAGAAAGTGTGCGTCCAATGTCACAGTTGTTCAACAAGTTGCGGCCGGACTTTGCCATTCTTCAAAAAAATAAAATCGAAATTTTAGAGCTCAAAATTTGCCACGAAACCAACCTAGCTTCCTCACGTGAATACAAACGCCAGAAATATAAAAACTTGAAATTGAACTTAAATTCAGTCTACAATAACTGTTCGCAAATTATTAACTCATTTGAAATATCACCTGTGGGTTTTTATAACCTTTGTTTAAAATTTTATGGCCGAAATCTTTTAATGAAAAATTGATTAACGCGGTAATTAGCTCGTCATATAGCATATATTGTGACAGAAACACTACTTAACCGATTTTAAATATATTTTTTACTCTCAAGCACTTGTTGATCAAAGAGCATGAGAGGATCGTACATTATATTTTATATTTTATTTATTTACACTCTAATATATAATTAATAATTTTCGATGGATTCCATTTGGATTTTATTTTTCGGTAAATAAAAGAATGTTCCCATTATCCTTATTATTATTCTTATCAATATCCTCATTTTTATTATTATTATTATTATTCGAATATTAAAACACGGGTAATCAACAGCGCTAATAAATAAAACTAAAAATTTCTCAAAAACGCTACAAAAAATGAAATAAAGAAAGTTATTAAGGCAAAACCGGAAATCCGTCGTCAGTGTTAGACGCACACGCCCTAACCCAGTGCTTTTCAAAGTGTTGGTCCGCGAGCTCCCAAAATTTTTTAAAATATTCAAATTAAAAAAATAAAAATGAGATTTGATCAGCAACACAAAGAAAATTTCATTAATTAGTATTGGTGAGATAAGAATAGAAGTGAGAGCGCTAGAGCTAGAATGATTTCTGCAACTAATGAGATTCATTGTTCTAAACTGTCGAGATAAGTATATGTGTGAGAGTGGTCAGCTGTTTAAAAAACATCGTTAAAGTGTGAGATGAGTATGAAAGTGAGCAAGAAATAGTATTAGCATTAGCACCTGAGTATACGTCGACGCATTGTTGCATTCACCGAGGAAGTTTAGCGGTAAAAAAAATGTCCGACGAATTGAACAACGTTCTTAGCGAAGTAGTCAAAATAGTTAATTATATAAAAGCAAATGCTTTAAATTCTAGACTTTTTGCTAAACTATGTGATGAAATGGGAGCTGATCACAAACATCTCCTGCTACATACTGAAGTTCGTTGGTTATCCAGGTGGAAAGTTCTTTCTCGTGTGTTTGAACTGAAAAATGAACTGACCGAATTTCTTTATGTTAAAAAACCACACTGGTCAGAGTGTTTAAATGGCTGGCAAAATTAGCCTATTTGTCAGACATATTTGCATTGTTAAATGAACTTAATCTTTCAAAGCAAGGGAAAATGGCAAATGTTTTCACAATGGCAGATAAAATTGACGGACAGAAAATAAAATTAAAAACATGGATAAATAGATCAGAAAGAGAATGTTTTGAAATGTTTTTTAATTAAGCTACCGTTATTGAAGAAGAAAGAGATGGGTTTGACATAAAAACAATTAAAGCCGTCGTTGTTCAACACTTGACAGACTTATCTAAACGTTTTGAGTTTTATTTTCCTACAGAAGATGATCCGCCGCATCTTGGATAAGCAATAGGTCGGAATACCCAGAGCTCGTCGAAAAAGCTATAAAAACTCATCTCCCCTTCCCTTCTACTTATTTGTGCAAAATCGGGTTTTTATTTATGGCTGTGATTAAGACAAAATTCAAAAACTCTTTAGAAGTTTCTTCACCACTACGTGTCGCTTTGTCTTCATTTGAACCACGCCTTGACGTACTCACAAGAAGAAAACAAGCTCATTCTTCACACTAATTTTTATTTCATTTTATTTACATTTTGTTTCAAAATATCGAAGTAATTGTAATTATTATTTATTTTTAATATACATTGTAGCCAAAAGATTCCATGCTTCTAAAATTAACAAAATCTACAAATTTACCAACATTCACGGTATGTTAATTATATATATATATATGTGTAAAGAAACTATATTTCTTTAATTTTGATTTTGTCGCGCTTTGCGCTATTGATAATACACTGCGAATTTTTTGTCTGGGGTTTTTTGTTGATAGGTTAAAAGAAAACCTAAAAGTAAAGTTTAATTAAATATATTTTGTGACAAACTGATTATAATTTGTGAAATAATAAACTTTAAATGTCGTTTCTTTGTTTTCAGAAGCAACACATTTGTTTGTTTGAATCATAAATTATAATCGAAACTCTTATAAAACGACATTTCCGTTTATTGAGAAACCTAAATGAATTATAAAATGGACCAGCTACGACTTGAATTTGCAGTGTTGCCAGCGAGTGATGGAAAGTCAAATATATATTGTGTAACCTCCATAACGACAAGAGATGAAAAAGTGTTTGCTATTCCAGAAGAATTACAATCTGCTAGTTTTCATAAAGAGTTGATAAAGACAGCTGCGTACAATAAAATAAAAAATAGTTTAAAAAAAAGACATCAGACGAGAAAAATTTGGATTACAATGACAAATGAACTAAGTAACGTGTACATAGATGAAGATGGTAATCTACAATTTGGAGATCAATATCTCGAAGAAATTGAACAAAAGAAAGCATCTGGTAATTTAGTAAAAAATACAGATTCATTGGAAAAATTATTTACAAAATTTATTGAAAGCTCACAAGATTTAAAAAAACAGAACCTGAAATATATTGCAGAAAAGTTTATAATTGAAAGATTTACAAGTAAAAATACTAACCCAAGCCAATGGATTGATGTTTTTGAAAAAGAATGTTTACGTTTCGATATTACGGAAGATGAGAAAAAAATTGAGATACTCAGACTATTCATGGACAAAAGTTGCGCTGATTGGTATAGTTCTATGATTATAAAATTAACACTGAACTCAGAGTGGTCTATATGGAAAAATAAATTCTGTGAATCATTTGCAAATCAAGGCTGGAACCAAGTGACTTATGCGTTGTTATTTAAGTACAAGGATGGTTCATTGGTGGATTATGCTATAAAAAAAGAAAAACTTTTACTGGACATGAGAACATCAATAGATACAGGTACTCTAGTGGATCTAATTGCAGCTGGATTGCCAGGCTTTGTTCTAGAAAAGATAAATAGACAATCAATGGAAGATACAGTTGACTTATTCAATGAAGTAAGAAAGTATGAACATTTGATGAATAAAAATAAGAATGGAACCTACACGAGATACGAAAATCAGAAGATACATAACAAAATTGAGGAACGTACTGCATGCAAAATATGTGAACGGTTAAATAAAGGTATACGCTACCATCCAGAGGCTGCATGTTGGTTTAAAATGAGAGATAATAATAAATTTGATAGAAGATATATAAAACATGTCAACAATTCAGTGATTGAAGCAGAGTTAAATGAAACAAAACAAAAAAACTAATAGTAACACCATTAATTAAAGTCAAACTCATAATAAATTCTAAATTAGAGATATATGGAGTGTATGATTCAGGTTCGAATGTTTCTCTAATTAATTCAAAATTACTAAAATTAAAAAACGAGAATAATAATGTAAATGAACAAAATTTAGTTACAATTAATGGTGTTAAAAAAACTTGTGGTTTGACGAAGCTAAAAATTAAAATTTTCGAAATAGAAGAAAAAGTAGATGTTTACATTATCGATGATGCGCATTTCAGATATGATTTTTTAATAGGATTAGACATGATAAAAACATACAAGTTAGTACAAAATGAAAAGTTAAAAATTACTCAAAAACTATATTTTCAACAAGAAAATATTAAAAAAGAAGAAAGAA